TACCATCACGGGGCCGTTGGGAAGCCGAATCATTCTTCCACCAGACGGCTGCAGGTGGCCAAAATTTGTAGACGAAAGATTAAAAAACAGATGACAGGCTTGGGATGTTAGAAGCGAGAAAGATGTCTTAAGTCCAACCCGCCATCGTGAGTGGTTGCTGTGATCATATCAAGGAGCCAAACGGATACACAGTGAACACAGTTTCATCGGCGGAGCAGTCGATCCCAGACTTGAGTGCTTTACAACTTATTTTTTGCCGCTTGTTGTAACGCTTAGTTTTTGCAAATGCCGGAGATTATGCTAATGATGACGAGAAAGGAGAGGCATTAAAAAATTATGCCGGACTCACCTAAATACTTGCTGACTTTCAAACTTTCTTCCAAAACCTTCTTTTTTTAATGTTCGGCTCTGCTTATTAATTAGCCCGCCTTCTGAGTCCTACTATCATTCAGATACTCTTTGCTTTCTAGTCATAATGGCGTCTGGAGAAATGCTACGATTCCCTCAGACTGAGGCATCGGTACAGAAGTTGCTAGACCTCCTGAAGTGCGACAACTGCGTATGTGCACTGCATATGCCCTTTACGACAGGAGTCTGTTCCCACACCCTTTGTGAGACTTGCTGCAACCCGCCAAAACAACCAAAGAAGAGCGGTGGCGTATGCCCAGTTTGCAAAGTCCCAGTCAGGCCGTGCGATGTAAAACCCCACCCCCAACTCTCCTCATTGGTCGTAGTTGCTCGGAGACTGGCAAAGCTTTTGCGCCGTCCTTTCGATGCTGACCAAATTGATGCTGACTTTATAGACCAAAGCCCTAGACCTCAAAGCAAGACTCCACTAAGAGGTACCGTCTGATACATTACTTGACACATTTTTTGTCATATGGGGAACGATCCCTTGTCCTATAAACAACTACCGAGCTAGCACAAAAATGTCTATACGACATTCTCAGCGCTTTTTGTTTGGCTACACTTTATCTACCTCCAGAATGTGAGTTCTATATAATTAAGCTATGCTGTGCTATTGGCTTTCTAGAGCATGTTGAGAAGGACATTCGCATCCCCAAAACCAAATAGTCAGGGAACCTATGTACACACCAAAGACGCTTTGCGCAAAAACTTCGCTCCAAAGCGCGTTTTTCATTGTTTGCTGATGCACCATTAAGCACCACACACTTGAGTTTTGCCGATTAACCCAACTTTTACATTCTGTTCGATCATACATTAGGAATTTTTGTTGAATTTTCGTGCGATTTTCGTGTTTTTAATCTTGACAGCAAATATGATGACAGTTTTTTTTTACCGGTATCAACCAAATTGTCTGACGTTCTTACATATCGGCTTGCTTAGTATGACTATGTTTCAAAAATTTTCAACTGTGCCAGTCCCCCAGGTAATTCCAAACCACCTGTCTTACCTCATCCAGTAATTTAACACCCTTTCATCTGTAGATGATTGCAGTCAAATTCTGCCTTTAGATAACTTGGATTTTCTGAATTCGGATACCTACTGTCGAGTCGACAGCCCATCACCGTCACAGGAATCATTTAACAACCTAAAGCCAACCAGTTTCGAGCGTATTTTGGCTGCTTCCCCCGTAGCCTGCTCGATCCAAGCGGAGCCAGAGTAAGTCCAGAGCAGTTTTTATGCGAAAAAGAGAGCAACTTTATG